AGTTGAATAAAAGATTATGGAACCTCATTATTAAAAGTGTAATGTATTCAGTTTTTTTAAGACTCTTGAGTATATCTCCCTAAATATTTTTAAATGTCTGCTAACATACAGGAAGAAAGGCTACTTCAGCAGTGGATGGGGGAAAATAAAGTGTGTGGGAGCTAGAATTTTAAGACCCCATAAAGCTCTTATTATCATTGCTTATTTAAAAAAAAAAGTTTCAATATTCTAATGTGATGGGATAATAAATTGTACATCTTTTCAGAGCCAACTTGGAAGGTGGTCTTTGACATCTTCTTGCCTCCTTTTCTTTACTCTTGATTGACACCTGTTTCCCCTCCCAGAAGTGTCCCTTTCTTTCATACTGTCTTTCAGCTCCTCAGTCCTCAGTTGGGTGAAGCACTTCCAGTCTCAACCCTGCTTCACACTCCAGAATTATCGTAACTTTCTTTTCCCTTCCTCTCCAGTGAAAGTCATCTTTTCCTTAATGAAATTGATCTGTTTGTGATTAAGAAGGAAGTACGGCAAGTAAGTTAATTCACAGTAAGAAATTCATGATGAATTATCTTTCCTACTGTTACTTATATTTTAAAAGAAGAAATTTTTTTTCACCCTCATATGCCAGTAGGAATATTCATATTTACAGCCTGCCTAGAAAGGCAGGAAACTCTGGCAACATCTACCAAGGGTTATAAAAAAAATGTTCTTATAATTTCCTCAGTAATTTCATTTTAAGAATTCAATTCTAAGAAAATAACCAGAAATAAACACTTCTGTACAGAGATATTGATCAGAACGATCAATATGTTTAATAGCCAAAAAAGGTGAATTATGTCATGAATATAAATGATAAATATAGTGACAGTATAATGAGTTGGGAAAGCAGAAAAAAGGGATGAGAAGGATAGCTAAGTACTCACTGCCCATTTCAGATGTCTGTGGGTGCTCTGAGGGTCCCAAGCCTTGGGCTACAACGGAATCAGCATGGAGTCAGGCAGGGGTCACGTCTGTCTAAACGCTAAAGGATTTTCAGGTATTTAAAACGGGAGAAAAGCAACTAAATAAAGGTTCAGTATAAATTATAAAGGTGTTTTTCTGCTTAAACCTTCCAAAATACCCAAAGTTTAATTAAGCAAGGTTGAGTACAAAGCATGGTAGGTTACGAGTATGGGCTTCAGATGACATACTATGTCCTACATCAGCTGTGGGACTTTGGGCAGGTTATTTAATCTCTCTAAACTTCAGTTTACACATCTTAAACTGTGATAATTACATCAACCTTATAAGGTTGTCTTAGAGATTCAAGAACATAATTCATATAAAGTGACTCATATCTCATATGACAAGATGTGTACTCAAATGTTACTTTTCATTATCGTTATTGATTTAGTGAGGAAGATAGTTAATTATCAACAGATCACAATTTTAAGATTCTAATTTTAAGAAACTTTTGAGGTTATCTGAATTTTCAGAGAATTAAGTTATATGTTGTTAGGAAAATAATCTGTTTGTTGAAAAGCATTTTAGATTTTGTAGCTACAGACATTTAATTCTGTTAGGTGAGAAGCTATATGCAAGTCACTCCAAATAAATGTTCAGAATTGGTGTGCATGGTACCTACAAGGAAATAACACTTCTAAACTTTTAACCTTATAAACACAGTCCGTAAAGTTACAGTAGAAGTCTCAGAGCCCCAAAAAATTTTTGCAGGATAATTTTCATAAGTCCTTTCTTGTCCTGGCTAGATGGATAGGCACTAAATGACTTATCCTAAAATGAATAAGCTAATAGCAAGTTTGGGAATGCTTTCACTGGACTTGCCTCTTGTTTTAAGGAGGCCAAGTCTCTCTCTGGATAGAGTGCATGAAATAACAACTGATATGTTGTTATAATTTTTTTTCCAAAGGATTTGTTTCCTTTCTAATTAAGGAGTTTTAAAGGAGTCAGCATAATATAACCTGATAGGTTTTACGTGTGTTGAATATAAAAACTCATTAACCTATTTTAGTTGAATTATTGGCAAACAGTAAAATTAATTGAGAATGACAGTCTAACGGCTTTTACATTGATCTTTTGAAATTAGGTTGATTAGTGACACTCATTGTCTTGTAATAATTCCTTACAAGTTGTCAGTGAATTCAAAAATAGTTTTATAAGCCTCCACACAAAGTTCTATGGGGAATAATAGCAATATTTCACTTACTCTAGTGATCTTTGATGCGAGGTGGTGTGACTGTAGCATCTATGTTTCTAGAGATTGTTTGGAAGTGCTGAGGTGAGAATTTGCTTTGTGTTCATCTCTGTGCCCAGTGCTTTCTGGGCATTATACAGGGCATCTCAACAGCACTGTTAGTTTGCATGCTAGGTCCATTACAGATAAGGAAAAGGGAGTTCGCAGAGATTTTTTTAAAGGTCTGAAACTTTTCCCTCATATTAAATTCCTCAAACATGTACAGAGTTTGGTGATTAAAATCACAAAAACTATCTGTGGGCTTGGAATGGGGATTGGTTGATAAACTACAGCCCACAGGCCAAATCTCGTCCGCTGTCTGCTTTTGTATAGCTGGCAACCTAAGAATGGTTTTTACAGTATTAAATGGTTGGAAAAAAATCAAAAGAATAATAATATTTTATAATGTGAAAATTATGTGAAATTCACATTTCAGTTTTTTTGGAACACAGCCATTCCTACTCATTTTTTTTTGTCTGTAGATGTTTCCATGATACAAAGGGAGAGCTGAGTAGTTGGGACAGAGGCCCTTTGGCCTGCAAAGCCTAAAAGAATTACTATTTGGCCCTTTACAGAAAAACTTTGCTGATGCCTGGTCTAGAGTGGTAATTTATCTCAGGCTTTTATAAATGACTTTATTCATTATTGAATGCTTACCACTTGCTGTGTCCTGTGTTGGGTTCTTGTATGCAGATGCAATAATGAACAAAGGGGCATAGTGGGTACCTTCATGGAGCTTACAGCTTAAAGCTAATATTTTGATTAATATTTTAATAGTCATAAGGTAGATGTAATAATACAATTTTTTGGTCATTAATAAAATATTGTAATATTTGTAAGGTAGACTATTAATAATTTAAATAATAATAAAATTATTTGGTTAATAATAAAATTATTTGGTCAATCTGAGTGTTTACCATAACCCTTACTTGAACCTTTTTTCTTTTTAAAATATACCACACTGAACATAAACCTTTGCTTTTCAGATGACGTGATTTTACTGAGATTAGGATCATATATTATGAGCATATATTTTTGTGTTTGCTATAGCTGTAGATGCCGGCACTACTGGAAATTAGCTTGAACTATTACCATTCCAGGGCATGTTCTGAAAACTGTTTACTGCTAAATTTTACGAAGTTCCTGATATCAGTTTGTTTCCTTGCCATTTTTCTTTCTATTGAGAAATAATGACTCATTAAAAAAATACTGTGAATTATTTATGTAGTACTTTATACTGCTATATTTGTTAAGCCTCAATGGTACATTTGTATTTCACTTTACCTGATTGGATGTTCACTTTGTTAACATTAATGTATTGTTGAATTTTAGTTTATATAATTGCATATGAAGCACTAATATTTGTCACCATTTTAAGAGTCTGTATTAATCATACTTTAAAAAAAGTGTTACATAGTTTCCTAATGGCAGCAGGTAGCATAATGCCTCAAAAAATAATGTCATTGTTGCTTTTCTGAGTTAGACTCACAGTCTGATTTATCCACATTAATATCTCAGAGAAACGTAGCATTAGTCCCATGAGGAGAGAAATGGTTTTAATCCATCCATCATTTATCTATCCATCAAACTTCTGTAGACTGCTTGGTATGTGCTGGTATTGTCTTAGCAACTGAAACGCAGTGGTCAGTTTCCCTGTACTCAAGGAGCAGTGAGTCTTCTCTTGCCAAAGATCCTGTGGTCCCAAAGCTATAGGCAAGGATTTGCCAGACGTGAATTTTTGCCTGTGCGTGTGTGTGTGTGTGTGTGTGTGTGTGTGTGTGTGTGTGTGTGCACGCGCGCACGCGCAATTTGTTCCATTTTGGTTAATTTGCTCCGTTAGTTAATTTGGTTAATTTGCTTTCTCTCATCCTTGAAAACTCTTCGAATGGCAACTTTATACACTAGATTGTATTTAACTTTCACTTACTCAGCTGTTTGTCAGAGACCTTGCATTGTTTTATTCCTGAATTAAGAAGTCGGAAGGAAGTCCCCTCGTGCTCTGGTTTTACATACCTTTGCTTCTGTAAGACATTGGAGTGAGGTGTCATTTCAAAAATATCGTTTCTTGCACCACCTCGGTTCACTAGTGCCAACAAGCTGGCACTTTTGTGGCACTCTATTTATAAATATTTTTCAGTGTTTTTCACTAGTTATCTGTCGTAGAAAAGGCAAAGAACTTATAAATTCACTTCATTATGTCCAAAAGGTAATCCAAGGGACATATTTACACAGGCATCTCTCTTCCTGCTTCTTTTTACATGAGGAAAAAAGGGTGCTATAAAGGAATCTTATAGGACATCTAACTTGATTTTACTTAAAATGTAGTTTATCATTAGTTCAGTATTAGTTTTTCTGTCGTGTGGGTAAACTTATGAAGTCTGCTTGAAGAAACTCAAAGTTTTTTAGAAATAGTTTAATTTCAGGTAATTTCACTGTGAATATATTTTATAATACTTGTACCTGAGTCCCTATGCTAATCTTGAATGTCATCACAGCAGTGATTTTTAAAGACCATTAATGTAGTATAATCTGTACTTTTTTGGGTAAAATCATTGTCGTAATCAGATCGTTATTGTGATAGTCTAACATCATTGCTGAGATAATCCTGTCATGTGAAATAATAAAGATAATGAGAATGATTCTAATGATCAAGGTATAATACAGACATGACAGGATATGTCTGATACTTTCTCTTTACTTTTATAGCTCTTGATCTTGTTCCGAGGCTGACATCATTACTTATTCCTACCTTTTATCTTATTTAACACAGGGATGTGAAATTATTTCAACTCCTGATCAGTACCATACTGACTTTACCAAGTGCCTTGAAGTGCTCCAAAATAAGATAGAAGAAAAAGACCTACAGGTAAGATAGGCGCCTATTTGGTGGTTAAGAGTCTTATACCAAGGATGTGAAAAATCCTGTTTTTACTTATCTGAAATCATTATTTGCTTTTGTGCTGCTTATCTGGATTCCCTTGTCAGGTTTTTTCAGTATATGAATAAATCTGCACTTAGTTGTCAAAACATTAACGTGTGCACTTGAGTCAGAGGTCACAGATTCCAGAACCTTACTGTGATGAGGTCCCCAAATGGGTGAAGTGGACCTTGTATAAAGCAAACAAAACTGGCAGCTCATTCTCAGCCTAAAGGGAGTAGCTGCTTTCTATCTCAGGTTGGTTGTTGCTCTGAAGAGCTGTGTGTGTTTGTGTTTGTGTGTTTATATATTATGTAGGCAAGACAGACAAACAAATATGGCCTAGATTTGGCCAACATTGCAAACTCTTATATAAACAAATAAAATATTACTGACTTCTTTTTTAAATGAGAAAAGAGTCTGCTGCTTTGTACATGTGGACTCTTTAAGGTGTTCCATAGTGATTTTCACCTAGCACCCAAGTGTATAATCACATCAGTTAGCTAATGCACAAATTTGTATGTTTTTATATTTTACAATTATTTTGATACTTGTTGAAATGATATGCAAACTTTAAAGTCTGTATTCCATGAAGATCCATGAAATTAAACCGGAAGCAGTGAATGACAATTGACCATTATTTCCTGGGAAGGGTAGGAAGGTAAGCTGAGATGCATGATCCAATGTGTCATTTTTAAACTAAGAAAACTAGGAAGACCCCTTTGTACATTAGGATGGTTTTCACAGTACAAGTAACAGGAGACGTGTTTCAGCCTTTCCTCAGTAATCGAACGGGGTCGGGCAGACTTCAGACACAGCGCAGTCAGATCTCATGTCTGCTTCTTCCATTGTCTTGGCTCTGCTGTGTAAGCTTTCTCTTCAGTCTGGTTTCCCTGACTATCTGCAGTGGCTGCTTGTAGCAATTTTTTTTACATCGTTACATCTAGAGGGATTGAGGGGCAGGGTCATCACTTCCCACCGTCATGAGACCTAAGTCCTGAAATCTCTCCATTAACCACCACTTGGTTTTGGCAAAGGATGATGAGAATAACCTGATTGTCTTGGACTGGAGCAGGAAGTGGGGGGGTCAATCCACATGTCTCATACAGTCCAGCTACATGGCTAATACACGTGTGGCAGGATGGCATAGGCAGTGGAGACACACCCCTAATAAAAACTTACTCCTTCACAGAAGTTATGAAAGATTTATTCTAATGTATATTTATTAAGTTGAGGCAGTAGATCCTTTTCTCCCTTTGAAGGAAAGCCTTGTTAACTAATATAATTGACAAGTAGCTCACTCTGCAAACTCAATAAATGTAATTGCACGAACATTTCTCATCTCCGTTGTAGCTTGAGCTGTACCTAATGTGCTACTTTCAGCAGTCAATTGTGGTGATAATATATTTGTTTAAGGAAAACAGAAGACAACCTATTGAGAGTTATCTGCTTCATCCCGACATAGCTGATGTTGGGTTTCTTAGAAAAAAATTGTAAATCTTCACAACTGTTTGAATTTTCCTAGTACTTCCACTGAGTGTATTGAAAGCTGGGAGTGAAATTATGTGAGTGTCATTTGTTGTGTCTAATTGATAGTATCTCTAATACAGTATTCAGTCATTGAATCTCAAAACAAATCATCGTATCTCAGACTCAACAAGGCCAAAGTCCAGAGAGAGCGTCAGACTGGGGGAAGAGGATAATCAGGTGTATATAATCTGTGAAACAAATTGGACAAAGTCTTGGCCGAGCCAGTGGAGGCCTGGAGCGAGACGACCTATTAGAGGACTCCTGCATTGGGCAGAAAGGGCCGCACACTCCTGCTCCCACCGTGCTTAGTCATAGGCTGGAGGCTGCCAGGGATGTGCCTGGCCCTGGTGGCAGGCTGTGCTGTGTCATGAAGGGGTTGCCGCTGGGCCGGGATAGCCAGCTGCCCTCCTCTCAGCCCAGTAGCAAGGTCTTTGTGGAGAGAATGGGAGCTGGGCACCTCCATGGTTGGCATGCTTTGGGTCCAGTGCATTCTCCAGCCTCATCTTGAGTCCCCCTTTCTCCTTTTCCCAAAATATGCCAGATTCCCTCCTCTCCTTTGCCTTAAGGTGTTTTTTGTATATATGTTGCCCCCTCTCTCTAGAATGTTGTGAATATATTTTGATTTTTTTTGTTTGTTTGTATTTTTCCTTGTCTTTGCCAAGTCCATGATGGCAGAGTATGCCTGACGTCCTCACGGAGGTCTTTCCTCCACCATAGCTCTGGGTTAGGCTCTGCGGCTCTACATTTCTATGCCTCCCTCTTTTCTCCTTTACGATACTCTGAACGCTGCTAATAATTGTGTTAATTGTGTATATCTAATTGTTTGCTTAAGGCCTTTCTTCCCAGCTTGACTGTGTAGCCCATTAGGCTGGGATCAGGTCTGTCTTGTTCACGATTGTACGGTAGCACGGTGCATATAAGAGATGCTCGGGGAACTCACAGGAGAGCAGGAGATGATGCAGTTAGGGGAGAGGTTTTTTAGAGAAGGCTGAGACATGAGAAACAAATAGAAGTTAGATGGCAAAGGGGAGAAGATGGTGGCCAAGTATGGCAGAGTCCACAGAGAAGGTGGCCAACACTTCGGCGAGCCAACAGCAGATGGTCTGAAGAGCTTTACGACAGAGAATGTTGCGGTTACTTGGTGTTTGAGGAAGCATAGTTAGGTCAACTGAATTCATTACTAACAAAACCATCTGAAAAAGATGGTTATGTTAAATCTGAGGACTGTCTGTGAGCTTCCACCTGACTTTATGTTTAACCTGGGAGCACAACATTGTGTTTGGTTTAACATAATAGCAGGAGAAAAGCAAGATTAGAAAGATTGGAAAGGAAAATCATAAAAGATTCCCCTCCACACATCCTCCTACCCTCAAGTGAGATCATCATGAGGGCTTTTACAAATTTCTTCCTAAAATACGCATAAACTGTGTCAGAAAATCCTTTATACTTCTCCACCTAGTAAATCATACAAAATTATCATACATTTCTTGTTTTCCACTTATTAAATTATAAATATGAATTTGTATTCAAAGTGTCCATATTTTGTAGTAAGATCTTATCTTTTTAGCATATACTTTAAAATATTAACTCTAGTATAAATGAATTGAGTTAAAGTAGTATTTACTATGTTAAGGAACCATACTGTGTAACATATTAGAACTTTATAGAATTTGGATTAGGGTCTGTCATTATCCTAAAGGAGTTAACTGTCTAGAACATGAGGTTAATTATAAAAGAAAAGATTTCCCTAAATTACCTTATTTATTATTTATCTGTTTTAAACCTGCTCCTCCTCTACTTTTATTCCTCTGCAAAAAGGTTCTCTGATACATGTGACTTCTCAATGCTTTTCTTTTATGTTGCCACATTGTTTATCTGTGACTGAGTCATGAATAATAAATTTATCAGGATGCCATCCGATATGACTGAATCTTCAAAGAGCACATATATATTCTGATGCTGTAATACATGTTTGAGATCTAAACCCAGGAATTCAGTGGAAAACATTAAAAGCTATTGCTCCAAGTTTCAAAAAATGTAAGATGTACACATTGTTTAGGATGAAGCAGGAAGAAATCTAGATTATAAGGCCCTAAGAATAATAGGTCTCCTAAAATACAGATTAGGGTATTTCCTAGAATTATATGGCAATAGAATCAGTTACTTCAGACTTTATGTTGGACAAAATTTGGGCAGAAAAGTTGATGTTAATTTCAAACTGTATATTGTATAGATTTAAACTCATACTAGTTTTATTTGCTAAAACCTCAATACATTTTAGCCCATTTATACTGTTATTTTTTTGTAAACAGTTTTTTAATCAAATGCTGCAGGATGCTGAGTATTATATAAATAAGAGCAAATGTGTAAGCTTTATACACACAGACAAATATTAATGACTACAAATTAAATGTCACATAAAGACTGTAGGATTGATCAATTAACGCAAGAGGACAGAGTAGAAAGACCTTGAGTTCACCTCCTCTCAGGGGCACACCAAAATTACAACTATTTACAGAAGAACTATCAGAGAAATAGATTGAAACCTACCAGAAAAGATCTTGTACAATAAAGCCATAAAGAAGGAACCAAAACAAGATGGGTAGGAGAGGCGGAGTCATGGTATAGTCAAGACTCTTACCCCCAGGTGGGCGACCCACAAATGGGAGAATAATTACAACTACAGAGGTTCTCCCCAAGGAGCAAGGGGTCTGAGCCCCACATCGGGCTCTTTATCCCGGGGATCCTGTGCCCAGAAGATGAGCCCCCAGGATTTTTGGCTTCAACAGCCAGTGGGGCTTACTTTCAGGAGACCAAAAGGACCAAGTGGGGAGATAGAGACTCCATTCTTAAAGGCACCCAGGGGAGACGTAGTAATTTGAAAGGTGTCTGGGTCAGACCTACCTGCTGATCTTGGAGAGTTTTAGACTGTTTATATCTACTGATTATCAGTATTGGACATGATTGGTTTGTAATGGACTAATGACTTTTTTATGTTCATACTAAATATCTGTTGCTGCTCATCAAATTTAAGACTGACTGTATCTGATTGGACTAATTACTTTATCAATATAATAAGATATCCCTAGGGTTGCTGGAAGAACTATGAGAGTACTGTGAGAAGTATTTTCCAAGGTACTCTGATGTCTTCAATAAAGTCCGCTCTGATGAGCTGGTATCTTTGGCAAGATTCCAATCTTATCTAAAGCAAAACATAATAAATCTGTCGTGTGTGTACACATGTGTTCTGGAAAGGAATAAATACTATCTTTACATTAGAGAAAGCTAGCAGATACCCCCTTAATCAAGGAATCATAATTAACATCATCAGTGATCATTCATGTTAGTAGTACACGCCCCTCTCTCTAGGTATAGGGTGAGAAGGGCACTTGCGCTGTATTTCCCTAAAACCCGTAAAA